ATCCCTGTCTCATTCCTCTCCTAATCTGCTTAAAGATACCAGCTGTTCTCTCCACTCATTTGTACAGCAGCGTTTCGGTCCCAGGAAAAATTCCTGATAATTCTTAGATATTTTCCATCTATGTCTAGCTCTTCCAGTATTTTAAATAGCTCATCATGTCTAACTTTATCGAAGGCCGTTGAGGAAAACAATCTATGAAGCATAAGTACAGATCTTTCTGTGCTACAGTACATCTTTCCATTCACATTGTTAAGGCGGTGAGTGTATCATTTCTGGTGCCCTTGTCGGGAATAGAGAAAGACTTAGACAGTCGACGGAAACAAGCAACACACACACACTTGATCAGTCGAAAGTCAATGACAATGACAATCTTTATTCATCTCGCAGGGAGAAATTTGTCTTGGTCGTTTACAATGGCAGTAGACGCTCCAAAGGTTAGGTGCACTCACGCACTCAGGACGTCCAAAGAATGTATCCAGAAACATGTTGAAGGGTTATACAAACGTCCAGAGGCGTATTGGAGATTGCATTATAAATTTCATATTTTTCAAACATGTCGCTTGTTGTTGTTTTTTCTACTAACTTTTCCTATTGACAAATGTAACGTCTCCTAGTTGAATATTATTTATTTCCTCGCAGTTTTGTTGAAACAAGCGTAAACAAGCCCGAGTTATTACTCTTTGAAGACACTCTGAGTCTGTTCATACATACACTAATACATCATACGTACATGTCGTAAAAACACAATCCTAATTGAAAAGCTCAAGATTCGGAGTAGAAGAAACAGGAGACAAGAAATACACGAGCCATAATAGCCAAGTCAAAAATGTCGTCCAACTCCGTCCAAATCACGACGTAAAAAGCCTCCGAGGAGGAGATAGAGAGAAAGATGCTAATTCGCTCCCTCATTCTTATTTGACGTACAAAAATTAAACAGGTAACTTAATCTGAGGGTGTCCCATTCCCCCGCGCCGACCTGGTCCCCCAAAACGGCCTCATTATCATACGAATGTTGTTAGGGTGATGAAAAATAGGTGGGAACAGATCGCTCCGGCGGGATATATTTCCATCAGATCTCCGCCTCAGAACTACAACGTTCTATCTGCTCAGGTACAAGTTGTGAGAAATTTGATGTCAAAAATAATGTCTAAGTTTCACAACATATTATCAAGCTTTTTACGAATGCAATTTTTCGAATATCTTGATAACAACTACGAATAATCTTACGATTTTTAATAGGGAAGATCGAACATTTGGTTTGTGACCTAGGGAAGATAGAACATTTGATTTGTGGCCTCATGGTCTTAATAAGTCAAAACGACCCAAAATGTCAGATAGAACCTTGTTGTGATTCAAAGGTAGACATCTGTGTACGTTGCGTGAAAAAATTCCTAAATCACTCCCCTCTTCCCAACACTACAGACGCCGAGGGGGGAGATGATCGTCGTAACGGCCGATAGAATTCTGCTTTATTTTGTTATTCCTTGCCGTGCGTTGGGAAATCTTGAATGTGTATTGAAAAGGCCTTGCTCACATTTCGCTGTGTGGAGTGGAGAATGGGCGCTGTGGTTGGTTCTGTTCGTCGTGTTATGAGAGTAAACCTTGTAGGCAATTATACGGGTTGGGCCTAGGGGGGGTTAAAGTGTCCGTCTCCAGTCTCGACTTGGAGAATATTGGCGGTGGTTGAGAGGGGGAGG